GTTCTACCTATTATTACTTACGTGACAAGAATAGAGAGACATTAACAATATACTTTTATACGATTTTTGAGCGACCTCGGTGACCTAGCGATAGTACTGTGGGCGCTGGATGAACAAGTTTAGGTTCCCGGAAGGACCAATTTGGGAAATAAACTTTTCTAAATTGGTTCTGGTCTGGCTGTTCTGGAAAATGCCTCCGGAGTTAATTTTGTTATTCTGGTGCCATATTACCAGGGTTTTCCTAGTTTGAGACCAAGTAATTAGTTTTGCCCTCGATTTCGGGCGTTATTGGGTTTTAACCCAGCGCCGAGTAAAAACCCTGGCGCTGGTAAAATTACAGGACCCGTCACCCAGAGACATACTCTGGATGATGGGCGCAGTGCCAATGTCCCTCAAATATTTGCGATTTAAAGCTCTGAGTGGCACTGTAACCACCATGGGCAGACGTGTCGCTTACTACCAGGTGCACAACTTTTTCGTCCCGTCACTTAGGATTATAATAATCTCAGTACAGAGTACTAAAAAAACCGACCTCAAAAGTACGTGGAATCACGTCTATTTGATAAGTTTCATTGAAATATCCCCTAGTTCGCCACTATACAGGACTTGATACTGGAGATAATAAAAATAGATTCTCACTACGACACTACTCAAAGTATATCGAGGGAAAAACGCCTTGAATTGGATAAATAGCAAAATCAACTAAATAATTGCTAAAAGTAATTGCTCCTAATTTAAGTTAGGCGCTATTTATAAAAATGAATCTTCATGCGTGAACACTGAACAGCCACTCTTTGAGGTGGATGATTTTCTTCAAAATGAAATGGGACCACTATGGAAATACCCCCTTTCCAACAAAAAAATAATCATGAAAATCGGTTCACAAATATCGGAGTTATCGCGTAACATACATACAAAAAAAAAAAAGAACAGTCGAATTGAAAACCTCCTCCTTTTTTGAAGTCGGTTAAAAAAAACTAAATATTTTTGTTGTAAATTACACAATTTCTTCAGATTTAATGATATTATACAAAATGGTTATTATTGAATCCTTTCGCTTGAAAATCGCATTGAAATAAATCGATATGAAAAATCGGTACATCGTATGCACCACAGACCACATAAATAGTATGCACTTAAGTCGATCTTCTTAAAAATCCATAACATGCATCTTAGTAATGAGAATCCACAGGATTGCAAGGTGAATATTATGTGGCGTAGCCTCTTTTTCGTGTAAAAAAGATTTTTTAAATCTAAATTCGTAATAAATATGGAATTATACTGTACGGTTCAACGTACATTATTCGGCAACTGACAATGTACATCGTCGCGCCCTACATTGGGCACTTGCAAAATTTATAAATTATAATTTTTAATGCAATAAAGATACTCCGTGGTATCGGTCGAGTATTATTTCTACAGCATTTTTTACATATCCCTACATCACCAGAGAAGCAGACAAGCAGCTCGTACAATACCAAATTCCGCATACGCCGTTTCTGCCCACGATTTTGGGCAGAAACGGGCTAAATCCCAGGACTTTAGGTAGAAACTAGGACGGGTTGATTGGGTTTTAACTGACTGCCTATCTCTGATAACAACTTTTGCTAAATGTTTATTGTACATAGTATCACACGGCGTACACGTTACTAATTGAAACGTTAACCTAATTGAAAACATGCTTGTGCAAAACAGTTGACATGTATTATAATGATGACAACATTATTAGGCAGGATGTGTGAATCAATTTGTTTGGGTGTCCTTGAAACACCCTCGTTTAAATGTGATACGCTTCTAAATCATATTGACAATTGAATTTCTTGGGGGTCTGTGGACCAAGAATAGATTTATCTGTACTATGCGCGAGCAGCATCTCTATATATACTTTTTGATATAGATTAAACTTGAATTTTTTTGTACGTGTTCGATCTTTGTTTAGTAGTTATAACAAACTAGTGGAGTAATTTCCCAAAAAAAAAAATTATATCATGATAGTGAAACATCCTGACATGCAAAAAAACTGCATTATAATTATTGTTATGATTATGAATATATAAAGATCGAACACACAGAAAAATTTCGTCGACCCGGTGGGACTTGGACCCACGTCCATGCTGCACCGTAGGAGTGCTCTAACCATCTGAGCCACGGGTCCAGTTTTGTTATTATATATACATAAAGTAGTCTAATAACCTGTTTCCGCTGTTTAAACCACATGGCTTGTCAACTTCACGTCTCATGGTGACGGGCGCAATGGCAGTACCCTTCAGGTCTTCATGATTGAAAGCTTTGTTTGACACTGCAACTGTTCTGTATAGGCGTGTAGCTTACCACCAGGTACGCACTTACGCACAACATGTTCGTCCCGTCACTGGGTATTATAAAAAAATGTCTGTTTATTAAGGAAAATCAACAGCTAATTACAAATAAGTCTACATATTATTTACTAGACGTGTGCTGCGCCGCCGCTGAGATGTTTTTGCGCCGATTTTCCGCTGACGTGATTGGCCGGGATAAACTCGGCGATGAACATGTGAACAAATGAAAAATTTATTTATTTCAATGAAGTATCACTTCTTTTTTAATTATAGCTATATGTCAATACAATAAATCCGTACATTTAAAATTAATGATTTTTCCTATCTACGTATTCTGCATACTGTTCATACTAGATTTAAATTAACACGTTAACAGCCACCTCGGACTAGGGTGACCGCTATTGAGTGCGCCATATGGGCCGCGTCGGACAATGATGAAAACCACGCGGGACTTTACGGGTTTAAAGATAAAGTGTCGTCTTTACTTTTGTGAATATTTGGAAATGTGTAAAAAAAAAATTTTCTTAGAATATGTCATTTATTTGAAAAAGTATGTACTATGTATGTGCGTAATAAATGGAAACACGAGTAGAAAATGAATTCAAATTAATTTACCAAATTTTAATTATATTCAAATTAATTTACCAAAATATCACTCACCTTCATCTAAAGCGACGATTAGTGTTGATAGTTTACAAAAAATTTCAAAAGGTGGAAATTTAAAAAATGTGAAAAATAGTAAAAATATACATAATTAGAAAATACTCATATTTAGTTCTACGTTTAGATAATGTCTTTTAAAATTTTATTTAACATTAATTATAAAATAATATTGTATAAGCATTGCTAAATATAATTTTCTAAACTTCACAATTAGAGTTAAGTATCTTCAACTAATAACTATAAATATTCAGAAAAATGTTTATATTTTCAAAATTGACATTTTTCCTTAACCCAACTCTAGTTAGGGATTTGCCCGAAAGGATTGTGGGATGTCTCAGAGTATAGTCGTCAGCGTGACCCGCGTAGCGCCAATGAAATTATTCCGTTTATCCACATCAGACTTATTGATTTAGAACACGTCCGTCAGATTCCGGTTCTAACTCTTGTAGTCTTGATCTATGATGTTTAAAATAAATATTGTAAATGATGAATATGTAGGTACAAATGTTTAGTCACAAAGAGCATCCCCTAGAGTTGTTTACTCTTTCTTATCAATGGAATCTGCCGTACGAATGAGCAGTAGAGTTTAATCGATATAACGATATTTTTCTCGTGTCGATGGTATACATTATATGTTTGCCATCGTGGTGAAAGAATTTGGCAATCAGCGTAAGGTCTCGCTAATTGTTGCCCAGGGTGCGCCAGACTACAGGAAAAGCTCCGTTCGTGTACCCCAAAAATATTACGATTTCAAGTGGTTATTTGAAATAAAGATTTGTTGACTTTATCATTTGAAATTTTGTTTGGCAAATAACGTGTTAAGAGCGTTTATTTTAAGAGTGGCGGAACGGTTACCATGCCGGACTGTCACGCAGAGGTTGGGACCTCGATTGCCTGGTCGGGAGAAATATTATTATGTCTTACATTTATTTCTTTCGTGAGTTTGGGTATAATTCGTGGTTGTCTATGTGTGTGTTCGTGGCACTCGCAACACAATGTGGTAGTGTGGGGCTATGTTGAGTGTGTACGTTATTATTATTATTTATTTTGTTGAATATAATACTACCATGATATTTATGTATTGTTTGTGAAAATACTCCACTTGTTTGTTATTATTGTTATTGATACGAAGATCGAATGACACAGAAAAGCTCCTTCGAACTGACTCTACTCGAACCAGCGTCTGTTGCCACACGAACTACAACCGACACAACATAGAAAATACTTACTATACTAAAAGTGGTTTTGCTGAATCTCAAAAAGTATCTAGTAAATAAATAATAAAACAGTCAAATAATCAATAATTGCACGTGTAAAGATGTTCTTCTAGAAGATTTTCTTTCTTTTTGTTTTTGGGAACGACTTTCACAATGTCTAAAGACACTAGGCGGTATTTTTAAACATAAAACTTTGCTTAGTAATGACGCGAGATTGTATTCGCTTTTAAATTTGTATTTGCTTTAGTAGCTTCACTCTCGTGTTCGCCGTGCTCCATCTGCTTTTTGTTTTGTAATCTGAGGTTATACCAATTGTACCTATTTATATATTATCTATGTCTGCCGCCAAGCAGTAATGTGAGTATTACTGCGTTCCGGTTTTAAAGGGTTAAATGTGCTAGTGAAATTACAGGCACATGTGCTTAGGGAGACGGACGCAGTGCCCTCAGATCTATACTATTATGGACAGTGTCCCGTAATTTTGTATAAAAAAAAATATACAGGGAGTAGGGAAATGGTAGTGCAACTACGAGAAACAGCTTTCCCTCATGGTACTACTAGTGGGACAAATGGGACCACGAGATAATTGCGGAATCTGTAGTGGCTGTAAGACGTATACGGGGTTTTGTTAATGATGATTAAGTGTATGAAACAACTGGTGGGTTTATCGCGATTTCAAAGCACTCTTCGTTGTAAAACGCTCTTGGTTGTGAAGTGAGGAACATCTTCCTTAAAAGGATCGGACCTTTTATACTAACATATGCTTTGTATGTTTTCACAAAAACAACCATCTTCCTTCCAGGCCTCCTTAGAAGTCCGTCAAGTGGGCAGACGTGCAGTGAGCCAGCTTTCCGGCCGCGGCATGGACGATGTCGTCATTATACACTACAACGATGTGTATAATATCGAACAAACCACCAGTAAGTACAGAGAGGACTTCACCGCTCACACATGCTCTGTCTCTCTCGCGTCCTGTCTTATGACTGTGTGTTAGAGTTCATTTCACATTTAACATGGGTACGTTGAGATTTGAAGTTCCTAGGGATGTAGTAACGTAAAATGGAATGAAAAAAAAACAATCGATTTAAATATTTTATCGAAATAATTTGTAACGAAGAGAGAATCGATTTAGGGACAATAAGTTAAGAACAAATAATAAACAAAATAAGAAGGATTCGATTATTATGTTATTAAGTTACTAAAAAACTACACAACAAATAAAAAAATTCAACGGTAACCAAACAAAAAGTCAACAACAAAACATAAAATCGACAGAAATGAAAACAAATTTGAATAATTACTCTAAAACCGTTGTGCAAAACTCTAAAGAGATTAGTTCAAAAGGCTTATTCACAGTTGTCACCACTGGCTGTGTTCCCACTGGCGAAAAATGGGCGCAAAATGGTGAATGGGGGCGAAATCTCAGTTGTTGCCAGTGGTGAATTCCACTGGCGACAAATGGAAAAAAAACCATGTTACCAAGTGGTGAAAAATCTGTTGTTGCTACTGGCGACAAATGGAATTTAAACTATCCCAGTAGTAGCCAGTGGTAAAAAAAACAAATGGAATAAAAATCCCAATTAATGTTCGACAACAACAATATAAAATAACAACAAGAGTTTTAAACTCGAATTTTATTTCCTTTCGATTATTGGATTGTTCTTCAAAGGAAATACTGGATCCCAAACTGGCTATTGGCACCTGTGAAGGGCCCGAAACCTTGGTTTGTTTGAAAAAACAAATATACGCGATTTCAATCCGGAAAAATAGTTTCAAAGTCAAAGTCAAAGATTATTTATTCCATAGGTAAAATAAATTTACACTTGAAAACGTCACAGTTAAGCTACTGCTCGTTCACTACGCTGACCTCCCTGAGAAGAACGAGCAAGAAACTCTAGGGATTGCTCTTTTCAAATAAACTTAAATGCTATGGAATACACTTTGAATCAAATTTGTGTGGATTCTGGAGTCATGTCGTCTTTCCATACATCTTTATCTAACACGTAGTCTTCAACTTTGTAATATGATTTTTCGATCAAAATATTTTTAATGTAGTTTTTAAACTTAGGAATTGATAAACTTAATATATGCTCCGGAATCTTATTGTAAAAACGTATACAGTTCCCCATACGTCTTGCGCGCGCGCACTCAGCGAACGGACGTGAACAGCCTTTCTACTTTTTTTTCATTCTACCTACGTGCTGTACCTGTTTGTAGTTCAAGATGGTACAATGTAATAAATGTAAACTATTTATCTCAACAACTAAGGATGATACATTGAAGTGTAAAGTCTGCGAGACAGTGTGGCATAAAAAATGCGTGCGAAATATAAAAAAATTTGAAAAACACGGTACTTGTGACAACTGTCAGAAGGGTGAAGTGAGTTCGCCAATTCCATCATCCAAACTTGAGGTGGATCTTAATGAAACTTCAGCACAAAACATATTGTCTGAGGTAAATAAGAAGTTAGCAATAATCCATAAAGTGGAGAAAACCCTAGAGGAGATGAAGAACGCTATTGATTTTTACGCGGAACATTATCAGGAAATGGTGGATTTTAAGCAGAAGGCAGAAAAGAAATTTACTTCATTGGAACAAAAGAACGTATACCTTGAAAAATGCAACAAGGCACTGGAAGAAAGAATTCAAGATCTAGAACAGCGAGAAAAAGAAAGCAATGTAGAAATCTTCGGTTTAGAAAAAAGAAAAAGTGAAATAACCATAGAGGTTGTAAAAAATATAGCCCATCAGCTTAGCCTGAATCCCAATGATATTGTGGATGCTGTGAGGGTAGGAAAAGAAAGCGACGATAAAAATAAACCGCAGCCAGTGATTGTAACAATGAGGAACAAGAAAACACGCAATGAATGGATTGCTAAACGTAAAACCGTTATTACCAATGATCAGATTTACAAGAACGACAGTTCTAAGCGCATCTATATTAACGATGATCTTCCAAAATTCAAGCGGCAGTTATTGTGGGAGGCCAAAGACCAGCTTAAATCTAAATATACCTACATATGGGTACAAGATAGTAACATTCTGGTGAGAAAAGATAGCAATGAAAAAAAGATCTACAAGATTCGATCGCAAGACGATATAAAAATGTTGCTAAAAAGTAATTAATAAGGCACCATAGCCACGGATATACTGGGTGGATAATATTGTTTAAAATTCCATCCATCAAGTAAGGTACCTGTTGAATGCGAATATACACGCTATGACAATATTAGTACCTGGAGTAAAAGAACAATAACAAGTGGGTTACATATTATTTACTTGAATATAAGATCAATACGAAAACATTTTAATGAATTACTGGTCTTGCTTAAGGAAGTGAAATATCAAGTAGATATAATAATATTATCGGAGGTAAATATTAAAAAAGAAGATTTAAGTCTTTACAGCTTGCAAAACTATACCATGCACTCAAACACCAGAGAGACTAAGAGTGGAGGAGGGGTTATTATGTATGTAAAAGAGAGTTTAAACTTAGTATCGGAAACAATAGTATCATCGGCAGTTGAACTTATCATTATAAAATTATTAGTAGATGGAAAATATCTGCATATAATAGGTTTGTACAAACCACCCGATAAAAATAAACGACAGTTCACCGACAAATTGAACATATTACTTAAAGAAAAAATTCCTCAATTCGAAGATGTTGTTATTATTGGCGACACGAATATGGATCTTTTGCATAATAAACATAAGAACGACAATTCATTCTACAAAAACACCTTGTCCGACCACGGGCTGTCTAGTGTGATACCAAGTTCGGAAATTACGCGGGAAGAGATTGTGGAGGGACAGCTTCGTACATCCTGCATTGACCATGTGTGGGTGCGAGCGAGAAAGAGTGTTGTTGCTAGCGCCGCCTATGTAGTGGAGTGCAAACTATCGGACCATCATATTGTGGGGATCTCGTTGACAGCTGTCAGCACAAACGTGTTGGTAAAAACAAGTGTAAACAAAACGAAACAAGTTATTTGTGATAATTTAGTTAAAAATAAGCTTAATACTGTTGATTGGAGCAGTTTTTTAACTCTAACTTGCCCTTTTTCATTGTACGAATCACTGTGTCATACATTTGGCAGTATTTATGATGAGTGTAAAAAATCGGTAAGTGTAGTTTGTAAGCGAAATAGTCAGCCGTGGATTAACAATAAAATTTATTCTATGATTTGTAAGAGAGATCAGCTATTTAAAGCCTGGAAAGTGTCACCTAAAAATATGAATAAACGATTAGAGTACACAAAATATCGTAATAAAGTAAATAAAATCATAAATGTTGCTAGGAATGAGTACAGAAGATTGCAGTTAATTAATTGTAAAGGAGATTCTAAAAAGATTTGGGCACACATCAATACATGGTTAGGTAGAAATAAACTAGACGTAGATAGTATTATAAAAAAGTATTTAGGAAAAAGTGAAAGTATGTATAGTATTTGCTCAAATTTTGCTCAAACATTTACTAAAGAGGTTTCTGATATTAAACATATTTGCAGTATAAAATTTTTAAATAGAGATAGCTATATTACTAAAAGTAACCAATCATTTAGATTCCAAAGTGTAAGTGCAAATGACGTAGAAAAAATTGTAAACAATTTGCAATCTCGAAAAGCCCCAGGTATAGATCTAATAAGAGCACAAGACATTAAATATGTAGGACCAGAAATGTGTTCGGTGCTAGCACTTTTTATTAACTTATGTATCAAGCGGGGTGCTTATCCGGACACCCTAAAGAAATCTTTAATTAGACCTATATTTAAGCAGGGAAACCACATGGAATACACTAACTATAGGCCTATAGCTATCTTGTCAGTTATAGATAAAATAGTTGAAAAAATTGTTGTTGGACAAATAAATAAGTTTTTGGAACGTTATAATATAATTTCAAATTCACAACATGGTTTTAGAAAAAATAGAAGTACTAGCACCGCGCTAATACAGTTTTCAGATTTCATCAATGAAAACTTAGATTGTGGTAAACAAGTAGTTGCATTGTTCATAGACTATAAAAAAGCCTTTGACACCCTCGACCATGAAGTGTTACTTAAAGCGATGGATGAGTGTGGTATTAGAGGTCCCACCAATAACTTTTTCAAGAATTATTTATCTAACAGAACATTGCGTGTTTCTGTTGATGGTGTGGTTGGTGAGGAGGCCAAGGTTCAGTTGGGTGTTCCGACTGGATCTGTATTCGGCCCAATTGGATACATAATGCATGTAAATAGTGTAGCAAATGTTGTCCAAAAGTGCCATGTACTAATGTATGCAGATGACATGTGTTTATGTTATGCCTCAAAGAATGTGTCAGAGATTCAGGAAAATATTCAAGTCGATTTAGAGAATGTTACAAAATGGGCACACGATAACGGTATTATTATCAATATGGCAAAAACTAAATGTGTGCACATTCATTCACCTTACAATGTGCAGGCAAAAAAAGTTACTTCTAATATGATTTCCATTGTAGGACACAATTATGAATGTTTACATAAAAATAAAATAGGATGTAATTGTAGTAATTTAGAATATGTTGAGCACTTTAAATATTTAGGTTTAATTGTTGAGCGTAATTTTAATTGGAAGATGCATGTAAGTGAACTATGTATGAAGTTAAATAGAATTCTAAGTAGATTTTTTCATTTAAAATATGTATTAAGCAAGAAAACAATGTACATGTTATATTATGCGCTGGCAGACTCTTTGGTTAGCTATGGATTAAGCATATATGGTCAGACATATGCCACTTATCTAAAAGATATTAAAAAAATACAAATTAGACTGTTGAAGCATCTAGTATGTGACAAAATTAAAGAAAAATGTAAGGATACAGGTTACAATGATTTATTTCGTTACTGCAAAGTCATGCCAATAGAAGATAAAACTAAACATATGATTGTGTTAGAAAATTATTATAGCAATAATTTTAAAGTAAAACTTCACAATAAATATGTGACCAGAAGTGTAAGGCAAGGTAAATTAGTTCAGGTTAATACAAATAATTCATACGGAAGAAGATGTACCCGTTTTTTAGTTCCCAAAATTTTTAATGAAATAGACTGGTTGAGGGATGAAAATAAACTAGGCAAATATTTATTAAAGCGTAAGCTAAAAAATTTTCTCTTAGGTTTAAGCTATAAATAGGTATAAGTATGGAGGAGTGGATGAAGTTGTGGTAGAATATTATATGTATATGTATATGTAGAGTGCACATGTCACCAACAAACTGCTGCGCAGTTTGGTGACTTACATATAGGTTAAATTAATTGTAATGTTTTTGAATAATAAATAAAAAAAAAAAAAAATAAAAGAGTTGTTTACCTTGGTTAAACGAAATCGTGGTACCATGAGTTTGGACTTAGCTCTAAGGTTAATATTATGGATATCTTCTTTCTTATTGAAATTATGTATATGTTTACGGGCATATAAAATATTTGAGTAAATGTACTGTGATGCCACAGTCATGATACCAGTCTCCTTAAACTTGCTGTTTCATTATGCTATCAATATAAATTTTTATTACAGACACGGAACCAGTGGGTGGTGCGCTGCGGTTCAGTACAGCCGTCAAGGCTATGCAGCATCTAAATCCACTGATTCTCTTCAGTGGGGACGCCTTTTCGCCTAGCATGCGTAAGTCCTTCTTCGTTACTCAACTACAAATTATATAACTACTACCTTTTAACATTTATTTTAACCACAAGCTACTAACTTTAGTAGCAGTAGCTCTCGTTGTACCTTGCTTATTTCTACCATCACGCAGTAATTTGAGCGTTTTTTTATTATAAGTGATGGGACGACCAAGTCGGACACATGTTGATAATAATAATAATAATAATATATAATAATAATAACGCACACACTCGACATAGCCCCGCACTAGGGAAACCCTGTGTCGCGGGTGCCATGGACACACATATACAACCACAAATTACACCCAAACTCACGAGAGAAATAAATGTAGGCCATACAAATATTTCTCCCGGCCCGGGAATCGAACCTGAGACCTCTGCGTGGCAGTCCGGCATGGTAACAGTTCGGCCACAGAGGCAGATAATATATATGATAATCGCAAAAATCCGAGGGGCACTGACTGCGCTCGTCACTCTGAGACGTAAATTGAAAAGTCCTATATGCCTAACAAGGGTAAGGACCCTCCAAAACCGGAACGCTAACACTAATGCTTGGCGGCAGAAATAGGTAAGGTGGCAGTACTTCCCTCAACGAACTGTTGCTGGTGAGGCACATGGGACTTTTTAATATATATCTCGGGGTAACAGGCACAGTGGCAATGCCTTTCAGTACTTTGCGGTATAAAGCTCTGAGTGGCACTGTAACTGTCATGCATACCAGGAGCGCATGTTCGTCCCGTCGTCGTTTGATATCATAAAGAAAGATAGATATGCCTTTTATATCAACAGTTAAAAGGTATAAATGACAGTAGTAGAGGAGCTTCTGGGTTCATCCTATAGTAAAAGTGATTGTCACAGTATTTATCAGTATAATAAACCAACAATAGATCCCGTTGTGTTTGACAGGTGCGAGATAAAATTTTGTGAGATTGCGCAGCGAAGATTTACGATGTACTTTTATATGTTCTTTTATCAACCACGAACTGAGTAGTAAATTTTTATTAAACCGCAAAACCATTATTTAAACGACTTGTGTCTTCATTGACAGACAAAAGATTTTTTTATAGCTTACCATCAGGCGCATAACATACACGCCTATCTATAACAGTTACACTGCCACTCAGAGCTTTGAATTGCAAAAAGAAGTTAACTGTGGCGTGTGTGAAGTTCGTCTTATAATGAAAGTGACTATCACAGTATTTATCAGTATAATCAATCAACAATCGATGGATAACAGACTTATTACAACACAATTCAACTTATCTTAGCAAAATATGGATGGTCTATCTTTGGCTCGCTCGAGCTGTCCCTGACCACCGAATAACCAAACACAATATCCGTCCTATCTCTTAAAATCTCACACCAACGAGAGTTTTCAGCCTTAGGGCGCGCGCGTTCCATTATGTCGTGACGACAGATAGTTGTGTGGTTTAAAGTATCGTGGTTGGTATATACTTAAATGAAGTTGTTCATATATAGTACAACAGACTGTCGTGACAATGGGAAAGCTAGAACGACAGTCGTGTGACGATAAGTAAAACGTTTCAAACGCAGTTTCAAACGATTTTGTCGTGCCAACGACAAGTTGGCTGCCGTGAACCGATAAATTCTCGTCACGATCTAGTGGGGACAGCTAGACACGACAATCGTGCAACGATAAAATAAACGTCCTCGACACACACACACGACAGATAGTCGTGATGAACAGGCTGGATGCGACAGTCGTCCTACGATAAATAAAACGTTACGGCATAATGGGAACGTGCCCTAAGGATCAAGCACGTTTTTGCCAATTACTTACTGAAAATCAGGATTTTAAATGATTTTTTTGTCAATTTCATTTTCAAATTATAAAATTGACAAAAAGTCCATCGATGTTAAAAAAAATTAGTTAAAAAACCAGATTTTCAGTAATTGGCAAAAACGTGCTTGATCCCAGACTTGATGTGTGTGTATACTCTACAGGCGACAGTTGTCCAACAAATAAAACGTTGGGACATAATGGGAACGCGCCCTAACCCAACCAAAAACCCCAGTTGCCACGTTTAACATTCTCTATTTATTTATTTATTAATGAACCTAACAATCCAGTAGTAAGTTTTGCCATCTTATCTATTTCTGCCGTTATGAGGGGTGCTGGTGACAATACAGGCACATACATGGGACTTGTCAACTTATGTCTACGGGTGACGGGTATTAGTGGCAGTGCCGCTCAGATCTTTGCAATTTAGAACTTTATATAGCACTGCAATTATCATGGGTAGATTTACGAACCCGTTATTTCATATCATAAAAAAATATGTGTTTTATTGTATTTCTTCAGTGAGTACCTTCACAAAAGGCGAACAAATGGTACCAGTTCTGAACGAGATAGGAACGCATTGCGCTGTATTCGGAAATCACGACTTTGGTACGTAAACAATACGACAAAAAATAAATCGTTGCAAAACAAATTTGTCTATGGAACTAATTATGTGTCTACACACACACGGCACATTCAGCGGAACACTAGTAAAATTCACAAAATCATTTTAATAAAAATTAGAGATACTCGACCATTGACTTACAATTATATGGACGTCGGGTCCGCGCTAAAAAGTGTCCGCACTTGTAAGGCGCTAAAATCGTATACAGAGCGCGACACTCCGCTTTAGTCTTCATTTGTTCTACTGACAGCGCGATATTGCGATGACATTACAATTTAAATTTCGAATAGGTTGACTTGGGACATTTTTTTCGTGGTTTTTGTATTAGACCCGTCGTCCATTTATTTGTAAGTCAATGCACTCGACGTAAATTTTTTTTATTATATTTTTTTAAATTTCATATTAACTTCCTTTCCTATGAACAGGTTCATTGAGTGGTTCGAAGTTGATTTTGCGTCTTGTAAATTTCATAAACAAAAAGTTGAAAAAGATTTCTGTTTATTAAACTTGATTTAATTAATGTTAAATTGTTACAATTTTTTAAATTAATGCATTTTGTTAAATTTCCATTTTTTTAATAAAGTTTGAGTAATGTACTACTAGACGTTAAAAGATGTTGTGTCCAATTGTTCCTTGTTTCAAAATAAACGTTAATATTTTTTGTTTTTGTTTTCGTTACACTAAATGTGCAGTGTTTGTATTTAAAAGTACTACTTTTAGAAGATATTTATTCTTTGCACCGTCCTTTGCATCTTTTAATTTTGTATCCCAAAGTTACATGTAAGAAATTGCTAGTTAGCAATAAGGCCGTCTGTCGTAATATACTTACACTACAATTTCGTGGTGTCATTGTATTTTTTAATGTGCAATAAAATAATATTTCCTTATTACTTTTTATTTTGACTTTTTTATTAATTTTTTGTTATACTGTTTGTCAATGACGATGAATTCCATTTATATTAAGTCAGGGTAATTTCTGCATAAGCAATATATTGAACTGTATTTCAGATTTTGGTCTAGAAGTCCTATCCGGCCTAGTAGCACAGTGCAACTTCCCATGGCTCATGTCCAATGTCATAGACAATGAAACGGGTCGGCCATTGGGCGACGGAAAAATAACACACGCTGTTATGTGCAATGGACATAAAATAGGCCTCATAGGACTGGTCGAACAGGTATTCTTTTTCATTCATAACTTGTTTGTTAGTGGAACACAGGTTGTATAGAAGTTGTCAGTAACAAAGTGAATATAGTTTCACTGCTAGGCTAAAACATTTACTAACATGCGCCAAATTCAATATTTCGTAGCTGGAAAGGCTAAAATACTAAAGCGCCGTTTTGGCCATTTCGAGGCTAGTAATTTCGCCTTTCCAGAGACGATTTATATTGTTGAATATCATGATGTTGTTACTACCATTATATTCATGTTTTGAAAATACTCCACACTAGTGTGTGTCATAACTGGATGTAGCAAATGTAAACAAAAAAATGTCATTGTCAAGGTGTGAACGCGGACGTGCTAAACCTTCTATTTTTAACGGAATTGGAAGAGAATGTTTTCGAATTTGTTTGATGTTTCGAAAATAGAAAATTGTGATCGTTTTCTACAATTTTAATTATGTATTACAAAATATTAAGAAGGAGCAGAGGAAAAATTCCGATTTGATTTTGGAGGGGTATATCCACTTTAAAGTTAAAAATGAAATATTGTATGAGTTACCACACGATATATTCAAGCATAGACATTAATCAGAAACATAAAACAATAAAGTTTCCTCGATAGATAAAAATCACGAAATGACCTCTAATTTTCACATTTTTTCAATTTATCCTCGAAATGCTACAGGTTATTAGGACAAAAATTAGATAATTAATTATATTTATGCATGATCGACAACTGTCACTACGAATTTTTTTTTAATCCCTTTAGTTTTAGAGTTATTCCGCTAAAACGAATTTGGTACTTTTAATGCGCAAAATTCAACATCTCCTGTCGCATGTCACGCGAACTTCAGGCATATATTTGTTTCACAAATTTGGGCGGAGCCAACGTCAAAAATTTTTTGGCATGCTCCCTCTTAACCATAAACAGAATCTTTAACAACAACACAATACACACTACGGAGACAAGAAAACATTTGATTTTGAGAAACGAAGCACAAATGACATGTGTAACAAGTTTTGTAAGTCAATGTGTGTAACACACAAATTGGCGGCACAAAAAATGTCCCGATTGTGTTACCAGTGTCACAAAATTATTTACGACATTCAACTTGTTTAAGAACTTGTGTAAGTTTTATATAAGAATGCAGATTGAAAAATTAATATTGGTATATACGTTTAATATCGTCAATAATAGTAAAGTACCAATTAAAATGTATTTTTTTAGTCAGGTATCCCCTTTTTTACCCCTTTTGGACATCTAATTATATGTAGTATTTTTAGTAGCAGTAGAGCTCCTTGTGAAAGAGTTCGTCCTGGGAAGTACTGCCACATTATCTATTTCTGCCGCTAACGTGAGCATTACTGCGTTCCGGTTTTGAAGGGTAAGGGTGCTGGTGAAATTACAGGCACATGAGATTTGTCAACTATGTCTCAGGGTGACGTGACGGGTGATGAGTATTGTATCTCTGAGTGGCATTAGAACTGCTATAAACGGGCGTGTCGCTTACCACCAGACGCACGATTATTTGTTCCAGTACTTGGTGTAATAATATAAAATAAAAAAGTCTATTCACCTCTACAACTAAAGATTTAGATTTCTTAACTCCCTGTTATTGATTTTACAAACATTTATATTTTTTTTATTTCAGGAATGGTTAGATACATTAGCAACGATAAACCCAGAGGAAGTTACCTTCATAGATTTCTTGCAAGCTGGGTCAAAACTTGCGTCGCAGTTAAAACAAGAGGTAAATAAATATTTTAGTATATAGTAAAAAAATAACCTTTTTAATTACTAAGCGACATACATAACGTCCCATTAGCGTGATAAGCTATGATATCTATGTAATGTTTCAGAGCGAAGATAAATTTTGTGGTAAAATATAGTAAACATAATATTTATTTTATTTATTTATTTATTTGCATTTTACATGTAGTGTTATTATAGTATCTTAGAACTATGTTAGGAACTACATGCGATACCCTGTAAGGGCGTTGCAAAGTACTTATGATATACATTTTATATACATATTAATAATTAGCGTTTTGTCATTACATTCATAAAATTTTTCATTATACTATTGTTAACTATATTAATTCTAATTCACATAACAATTTTATCGAACAATGTTGTCGTCAATGAATAATAATTTGGATAATAAAAATATAAAGGCTAAAGTCAACTTCTAAATGTTAATTTTATTATTTCATGTCCAATTTTTTTTTTGTCGAAATTCCATTCTTTATTTGCATTTGAATGTCTAAATTCATTACAATATATTAACCGAAACGTTAAAAATATTCTAAAATTTAGGTATTTTATTTATTTATGTCATTGAAGAACTCAGTAATACTGTAATAACTTTTCTCTATAAGGAATTGTTTTAGATGTTTTACAAATGTTGTATAATTCCGTATAATTTTAAGATGATTCGGTGTTTCGTTGTATATTTTGATAACCATGGAATGTGGAGCAGCAGTACATGTTTTTAATTTAGAAAAAGGTACTTTAATTTTATTTTGGGTTCTATTATTTCGTTTTACTGTCTTTATCGGGGAATACAAATGTGAGTGCTTTCTAACAAATTTACATGATTCTAATATATATATTGAGGTCAGAGTAAGAATGCCGTTTTCTATGAATATAGGCTTACATGAGTCTGTTTGCTGAAGGTTGAATAAGATGCGTATACATCTTTTTTGAAGTACAAAGATTTTGTCGATTTCGGTACTATTTCCCCATAATATGATGCCGTAGCTCAATCTGGCATGACAGTACGCGTGGTATGCTGCCAGGGCTGTTTTAAAGTGTGTGACCCTCTTTAAATGACCCAGTGCGTAAGTCACAGAAGAAAGTTTAGCTGCTAACTTTTCAACATGCGGTATACATATATTTGTAGTTAGGATTTTAATTGGGTAATAAATTATAGTCACTATATTTCTATAGTTTGTCTTTTTTGAAGACAGAGTAAGTTTACATTTGCAAAGTTTTCATAAAATTTTTAAATAGTCATGTAGTTGTTGTCGACATTTGTATCGATAAATTGTGAAAGAAAGTATAATTTTGCCAAAAATGTCTGAATTGTGAATGTACGACGTTCTAATCATTACTAATTGCGTTATTGTCTTCTTTATTTCTATTTTGACAGTTGGTCTACTAGTATCGCAATCAAATTTCATTCATAATGTTTTAGTACGGACAGGCGAACTTGATTAATTATAATTAAAAAGAAAAACTTTAAAATGTGTCTTCCCTTTGTATTTTTAATAGACATAATTCTGTATTTAGTGTATTTATGTATAAACTTACGATACTACGTGACTGCGTCCCCTACGAAGCTCACACGTACTACGTATGTCAATTTTACGATTCTCACATTCAATACGAACGCTGTCACTTGACGTTTCTGAGTAAGAGCGCGTTCAAATTAGCCGCCGCCGTTAGAAGCGCTGCAGCCCCGCGAAGTGCGACCAAATTTTCCCATGCCTTTTTTTTATCCAGTCGATTGGAATAACTGGCGAAACTGCTATCCTATATTGCAGGGTGTTGTTTTACATTCTCTGTAAATTATTCTATTTAATTTTTATCCATCGTGGTTAATTTGAAAAATTAACTTGTGCACCTCACTAACCGTGACTGCAACCGAGCGTGACTGCAGCGCGTCTAACAGCGGCTCATTTGAACGCGCCATAAGGACTTATGTGAAATTACGATCTTTGTACGCGTTTCGTGGATTAATTGTTAATTGCTCTTGTCGCGATTGACAATTAATTAATTGTTAATTGCTGTTGTCACAATTGACAATTAATTAATTGTCAATCTTTATTGCCTGAACAATTAAATTTTGCTTTTTATCGTATTAAATTTTAATTATATAAATTATCGTTGCTTCGTCTTTCGTGGTAGACCTCCTGGAGTAAAAAGTGTTAAATGTATTTCGGGATCCTATACGTTAATGCATATGACTGTATATTATTCTGATAATGTTTACTTTAAACCGATACGACGTGGTGTTTCAGGGATGCGAATATGTTATAGCGTTGACACACATGCGGACGCCGAACGACATCAAACTAGCGGAGGGCGACACCGAGATCGACCTCATACTGGGCGGTCATGACCACGTCTATGAAGTTATTGAGGTAAAAAATATTAAATACACTAAGAATCTATACAACCTCAAATGGCTTTGGTTGATTCCGCATAAATTAAATTATATGGTAAAATTAAATGTGTGTGTATGTGCGTGCGTGCGTGCGTGCGTGTGTGTGTGTGTGTGTGTGTGTGTGTGTAAATATATATATCCCGTCACTAAATATTATTAAAAAAAAGCTAAAATGATTTTGTAAACTTTGACAAATATGCGCATCGTTAGATGGCATTGTGTTCTAATTTATAAATTACCGCTTGCTAGTATGGGTAGATGGCGCTGATCCTAATCAAAGTAAAAGAATAGTCGAAATAAGCGCCATCTAGTTAATTTGTTTAACAAATAAATGCGCGCGCTATTGGCTATCTAAATTAGATCTGGTTGAGACAGCCAATAGCGCGCTTATTTGAATTTTATCGCGCGCTTCGCCACTATCATGTGTATCAATGCTACGGGGGATGGTGTACCAATAGGTACTACAAACCCGACCACTCTGTCATGTATGACACCGTGTGGTTCTAGGACGCTACAGTACCAACATCGTTGAGAGAACTGTTTGTCTCTAAGACACGTGACGGGTTAAAACTACTGTTTAGTTACCTATTAGTCAAACTTTTGATTAACACGATCAGTGGTTTAAAAAGACAACACTTATTCACAGCTCTGCTGGTGAACTAACCTGTAATATTATTTCATATTCGAGGACACACAGATGCACACACACGCATGCACGCACGCACGCACGCGCGCTCTCGCTCACACACACACACACACACACACACACACACACACACACACACACACA